AAGTACTATTCTTATGCCCATATCCAGATGAGACACCTAGAGCAAAGATGAATTAAGTAACTTGCCCAGGGTCATGTAAGTAGTAAGTAATGAAGCTAGAATTTGGGTGGTGAGATGGTAGTCTGCCAGCTCCAAAGCCTGCTGACGTGGAAACTCAGGTGCTATATCCTGTATATCAACCCTTTGTTGTGTCAGGTATAGCAAATATGTTTTCCCAGTCTGTACTTTGCCTTTTAATTTCATATATGTTCTTTCCTAATGTGCAATATTTTAATTTTTTATGAATTCAAGACCTTTATGGAAGAAACCAAATATTGGATATATACCATGGGAGGGCAATATAGTGTACTAGTTAAGAGCACATTCTCGGTAGTCAGCCTGCCTGTATTCATATCCTGGCTTTACTACATGCTAGTTGTTGACCATAGACAACAGCTAAGGATATTCCAAATCCTTGGCCAGTTTCCTCAGCTTCCTTTTTTCAAGTACCTATCCTTTTAGCATTGATTTGAAATGCTGTCTTTTCACACACTGATCATCTTTTTATGGTAAATTTTTATGTATACAAAATCTTCATTTTGCACAGTAGTGCCAGACTGTAAAAATGACCCTGCAAGTTGAAGCTGAGCAGAGATCTTAATAATCAATGGGAGAAATTACCATTGTTCTGTGACCTTTAAAATTTTTTTGTCAAAACATTAAAAACTTTTTACTGTCAATTATAAATGTATAGGGAAATGAAAAAATAGTGAAACTAATATTTTTTAGTACATTATAATCTAAAGCCTTTAGAAAGATTGAGAATTAAGTTCTTTTCTTTGTAAAAAACTTCTCAAGAGTAGTTTGAACTTTCCTTACTTACGTAGGTAAGGTTGCCTTCACTAAGTTCCTCTGGCTGCATATCTATACTCTCTCGTGACGGCAGTGTCAACGTTCCCATGATCAGCTATTTCTTCTTTAACTCCCTATGTTCAATTTGGATTCCACTTCCAGCATTATCACTTTTCATTTTTTTCCTGCACTTTCATTTTGTTGGCCAATTCTGAATTATCCTCTCTTTTTTTTTTTTTTTTTTTTTTTGAGGAAGATTAGCCCTGAGCTAACTACTGTCAGTCCTCCTCTTTTTGCTGAGGAAGCCTGGCCCTGAGCTAACATCCATGTCCATCTTCCTCTACTTTATATGTGGGACGCCTGCCACAGCATGGCGTGCCAAGTGGTGCCATGTCTGCACCCCGGATCCGGGCCGGCAAACTCCGGGCCACGGAGATTTGGACTGTGGGAACTTAACCGCTGCGCCACTGGACCGGCCTTCAATTATCCTTTTTTTTAAATGTCACATGGGTTTATCACTGGGAGACAAGGAAGCAACATAACTACATTCTTTGCTCTCTATATGTGAATTGAACAAGAGATGCAAAGTGGCTAATCACCAACAGACTGAAAGAAGTGACGTGATTGTTCACTGCTCATGTGCACATCTCAAAGAGTTGATGTTGACGATTTTAACAGTATTCTCATTGCGTTTATGGAGGAGAGAATTTTTGGAGGAACTTACTCCACCATTTTTATTGATGTCACCTGTTCCTTTTGTATTTGCTTCTAAATTTAGATAGAAAGTTGTAGAAAGATTTAAATGAGACACAAATCTCAACTTTCAATAACCTCTGTAGAACTCTAAGATTTTATAGCTGTCAGTGTGGTATTCTCTCTCTCCCTGCCTAATTTTTTCTTATTCCTAAAGTGCTTATCACCTTTTAATATGCTGTACAGTTTACTCATTTATTATTTAAACTTCTTTCTCATGTATGCTGCCTCTCCCTGCTGGGATGAGGGCTGGATTGTTTTTTGTTCACTAATATACCCTAAGAGCCTAAAATTCTCATTGGTACATAGTAGTCACTCAATAAATAGTTGTTCAATAAATAAATCAGCTGTGGCTCATATACCATTCTTTCCAATTTAAAAACAAAGAAAATAAGCAATCTGAGAAGTTTTTTTTTCAACAAAGAAGGAAAAATAACCAAATTGATTAAATCACTTATTTTTAAAATTGACCCATTAGTTTAGAGCATAAATGTCCAGATTCTGACGTTTAAAATCACCAACAATGAAAATTCTATGTGTTTGAAGGGAAATAAGGAAATATGAATTCCTAATTAATGAAGGTTCTTTCCAAGCTCTTTATGTAAACACTGTAGCATCATTTGCTCTCTAACTTATCATGAATCTATTAGGCAACTGCTGGGCATATGTACAAAAATAAAACACAAATATTTTAGGACCTGCAATTGGTTGCCAAAGTAGAGTTTCTCTTTTCATTTTTATCTTTCACTCAGCACTTTAAAGATAATAATTCCCTGCCCCACTGACAAATCCAAAGCCAAATGGAGTAGATGAATATTGTGATGTGGCCAGCAAACTCCCAAAGAGAGAGCTCTTGCAGACCGTGGGAAGAGTATTTCTGAGCCAAGGCCCAACTTTTGAAAGGTTTCTTTTGTCTCCCACAGTTAAAAGAGACCTTTAGAGCTTGGCTTTCTTAAACTATTCCCCCACTACAAATAAACACATACACATAAATTAAATGTCCCTTGGGGAAGAAATGTGTACAGGAAACAAACATTATAGGGAACAGCCTGTATTCAATAAGTATTTATTAAGTACTTCCCATGTAATTAATAAATAAAAATAAATAATAAGCATGAGGCTAGGCATGAGGGATAATATGGGTTGACTTAGTGAGAAGGAATGTTCAGGAGAAGGGATGTTGTCAGTGACTCAGGCCCTCAGCCCAGTTTCCCCACCACCAAATCGGAGGTCAAGGGAAAATTTATGAGAAATTTTTAATTCTTTCAATATTATTTACTTAGCATGTCCCAGGTCCTGCGCTAGGACCTGGGGAAAGAGGAGCAAACAAGATATAGCCTTTGTCCTCCAAGGGTTCCCAGTGTGACAGAGAAGACATGAAAAAGGGGATGACAATACTTTGTGATAAATACCACAATATAAGTACTGGAAACAGTGGGAGCCAGACAGAAGGAATCTGTAAGGCAGCAGTTCTTAAAGTAGGCTCCATGGAGCTCTGGGAGTCCCCTAGACCCTTTCAGGGGATCTGTCGGGTCAAAACTATTTTCATAATAATAATACTAAAACATTATCTGCCTCTTTCATTGGATTGATGTTTGCCCTGATGGTACAAAAGCAATGGTGGATAAAACTGCTGGTGATGTCGTATGGATCAAAGCAGTGATACCAAACAATACTAATAGTCATTGTATTCTTCACTGCCATACTCTTGCAATAAACATAAAATAATAAAGCAAAGTAAGTTTCACTTAAGAATATCTTTGATGAAGCAATAAAATAATTTTATTAAATCTTGGTCCTTGAGTACACATTTTTTTAAACATTCTATGTGATGAAATGGGAAGTACACATATAACACTTCTGTGCGTAGTACAGAAGTATGATGGTTGTCTCTAGGAAAAGCACTTGTGAGCTACTGCTTTTTTCAGAGAACACTATATTTACTTGAAAGAACAACTGACAAACTATGGCCAACAACTTACCAAAATGAACAAAGTCAGTCAGTCACTTCAAGGAAAACCATTAACAGTATTTGTTGCCAGTGACAATATTTGAGCTTTCAAGAGAAAATCAGAAATTTGGAAAATTTGTATCTGTCATTGTAAGCTTGCCAGCTTTCCAATAGTTAAGGAGTTTTCTAATGAGATTGGTGGTGATACTAATGCATGTGATTTTTTAAAATATTGTATAATGAGTCAGCGCTGGGAAGATCTGCATAACTCAGTGAACGAGTATCTTACAAATGATCAGTGCGTCAAGTTGCAAAATTATGCGTGCGTAAAATGTCCATTCAAAGTGCAAGTATTTAATGGAGTGCAAAATGTTCATTGATATAATGATTCTACATTGTAACTAATCTTTAACAAGCTACCATTTATTGAGTTTTGGTGTAGTATCAAAGAAGAATACCTACAATTATCTGACACGGCTATTAAAATATCTCTCCTTTTTCCAACTGTGTATCTGAGTGATGTCAGGTTTTCATCACATAATTCACCCAAAACAGTATACTATCGCAACCAATGGGAGAATCCAGCTGTTTTCTATTAAGCCAGACATTAAAGAGATCTGCAAAAAGGTGAAACTACTGCATTCTTCTCACTCAATTCTTTTTTAAAGATTGGCACCTGACCTAACATCTGGTGCCAATCTTTTTTTCCTTTTTTCCCAAAGTTCCTCAGTGCATAGTTGCATATTCTAGTTGTAGGTCCTTCCAGTTCTGCTATGTGGGACGCCACCTCAGCATGGCTTGATGAGCAGTGCTAGGTCCATGCCCAGGATCCAAACCTGTGAAATGCTGGGCCTCCAGCGGAGTGCATGAACTTAACCCCTCGGCCACGGGGCCGGCCCCTCACTCAATTTTTTTGTATTGAAAGCATAGTTATATTTTTTCATAAAAATGCTGTTTATATTATTGTGTAATTGTTTTATTATTTTTATATTTTAAATAAGTTAATGTTTTCTTAATTTCTCAGTTTGAGTTAATATGGTAAATATCAATAGATATAATCCATATAAACAAAAGTTCTTTGGAGTCTCCAATAATTTTTAAGAGTGTAAAGGGTCCAGAGACCAAAAAGTTTGAGAACCACCCTAAGGGAATAATTTAAAGTGAGTTTAGGGGCCGACCCTGTGGCCGAGTGGTTAAGTTCCCATGCTCCCCTTCGGCTGAGGGTTCGGATCCTGGGCGTGGACATGGTACTGCTCATTAGGCCATGTTGAGGTGGTGTCCCACGTGCCACAACTAGAAGGACCCACAACTAAAATATACAACAATGTACTGGGGTATTTGGGGAGAAGAAAACAGGAAAAAAAAAAAGAAGAAGAAGATTGGCAACAGTTGTTAGCTCAGGTGCCAATCTTTAAAAAAAAAATTAAAAAAAAAAAAAA